TGTACTATCCTTTGGCATGTAGACAACATGAAGGTGTCCCATGCCTCTGCAGGGACTGTTGCAGATGTGCTAAAGCTGTTTAATGATAATTATGGAAAGATAACACCACTGGTGACCACAAGGGGTTGGGTACACAACTATCTTGGGATTGCCATCAATTTCACTGAGCCTGGGCAAGTGAAATTCATGCATGGCTAAAGTGAAAGCATGCTTGATGAGCTACCAGATGGCATATCTGGTAGCAAGGAGACAGCAACTCCCACAGGGGATCCCCTCTTCCATGTCAACCATGACAACCTGGTCAAGCTGTGTGACAACAGGAAGGGAATGCTCTGCACCAACACTGCAAAACTGCTGTTCCTGACAAAGAGGGCACATCCAGACACAAAGTTGCCTGTGGTATTCCTCTGAACTTGAGTGAAGAGTATGACAAGGATGACTGGAAGAAGCTTGACCAAGTGATGTGTTACCTATGAGGGAGAATAGTAGGGTTGCCACTAGTGCTAAGAATCAATGGGTCTGGAGGACTTAGTAGATGGTATGTGGATGCAGCTTTTGCCATAAATGAAGAAAGTCGACTGAGGCGGAGCTGGTTGGTGTTGATGAAGTAATGACCAAAATTGTGTGGACCAGGTACTTCCTCCAGGAAGAGGGCTTCCCAGTAAAAGATAACATTATTTATCAGGACGACCACCAGAGTGCCATGATGCTAGAAAAGAATGGAAAGTGGTCCAGTGGGAAGCAAACCTCTCACAGACATCTGCTATTTCTTCATAGCTGACAGCATCATGGCGCCGAGAGAAGCAAGCATAGAGTACTGTCCAACTTTTGCAATGATTGCTGACTACTTCACCAAAGTGCTGCAAGGAAGTCAGTTCTAGACGCTTTGAAACAAAAGTACTTTGAATCAACAAAGAGGATATCCCCAGAGGTAATGAACTGGCAAGGAAAGAGCTCCAGGACCACAAAGAGTAGCGGACAAGAAATGCCTTCTTGGGAAATGAGCTCACCAGAACACAGCAACATGCCTCCAGGATGTACTGCTGCTGGATAAGCCCACAGGAGTGTGTTCAGTGGTCATACTAGTAGTAACAGACACTATGCTGGACAAGAAGGGCATATTCACAGGCCACAACAGAAGGTGTTGATGACTGACGTGGCAACCTGTTTGTAGTGTAATTACAGTTGCTAGTGAAGACATGGATATGTGTATATCACAATCACAAAAGTAAATTAGTACTAGCAATTACCACACAAAAACATGCTCGCGGAGGGCCAAGGGTGGTGCTAGCATAAGCATGATGCTCATCTCATTATTTTTTATTTTTCTTCATGAGGTATTAGAATTAGAATCACTCTTCAGAGCTTGTGATGAAAAATCTTAGGATCTATCACAATATTGAGCTGCCGTTGCATTTGAACACAGGTTATAATCAGAAGACCACGAAAAAGTGTAAAAGGAGCTCTTACTTCATTTTCTTGACTCGATCCCATGACTATGACGCAACGAAAGTCCAGTGGCGACGAAAGGAACTGTGACGGTGGAAAGCCTTGCGAGGAGTTCAAACTTCCATTCCCACTCCCATTCCCAACAGATTCGGATGAAAACCAATCCGAACGCGGCAATCTAGATAATCTTGTCGATGACAACGATGCACCGGAAGACAAACAATTATTTGAAAGATTGCAAAACGAACAGGAACAAAGCAGGAACGGCGATGTAACGAAAGGTACCACTGACGAGAAAATCAAAATTGATCATCTCTCTCCCGACCTCTTTGCCTTGATTTGTTGTAGTTTAACGGTTCAAGACATCGCTAGTCTGGCGACATGTTCAAAAGCGCTACACATTGCCTGCTCCAATCAAGATTTATGGCGACAAAAGTTTCTAGCACGATGGAATTACGATGATCCTACCGTTTGTGATTGGTTCTCAGCCTATCAACAAGCATATTTCAACCCTCACGATCTATGGATCACCCATTGGAACTGCGTCGACCCCTGTGATGGGTTGGGACCGGGACGATGTTGCATACGAGGTGAAAAGAAAAGAGTTCACAATTACAAGGGGATAGATCGGTCAAAGAAAACAATGAAGAATGAAAATGAGAAACAGGAAGGATTCTCTACAGAAAGGCATCAGCACAAGCACCTGTGTCCAATATGCCGGTATCACCCTTGCCTTGAAATTGATACTCGAATTAGAAACAGAGAAACGCCCATAGGTATCTCGACGGTGGCACAAGCTATTGAAGCAGCTACCAATCTAAGAGTAGAGGAGAGTTCCCATGTCCTACCTTGCAAACCATACTCTCCAACCGTTGCGAAACATGCTTTCACCAAAGCATCTACGTTACATCGCTCTCTGGATTACCGCCAATACGAAGAAAACTCTCTTTACTTTCTCGCTGATTTACTTTTTTTCCATGTCTACGACGACCAAAATGAGAGTAGTAGTAACGGTGAACCCTTTGAAATGAGAGAATGGAAAGAATATGTCAAAAAAATGAAGACGAAAAATGCTAGTGTTCGCCCTGTCAACAATCAAGATGACCGAAGGGCACAAGGCAGAAATGATCATCATCCTATTCGTGATTGTGATACATCGGAACCAGCCTTACATAGTTGGCACCTAGTCAATATTTGTAATCCCGACCACAATCGTCCAATTGTCTGGAGAATATCGGTTCAACGATCTGATTGTTTCACTGTTTTTCCCTCAGAAGGTTACCTCTTGCCTGGAGAGTCGAAGACGATCACGTTTGGGTTGACACCGGTCGGTAGTTTGATCGCTTATGCAGCACAACAAGTGAATGTTCATCGAGAAGGTGTCGATGAGTTTTGGGCAAATTTGTACGAAGAGGAATCTTATCTTCCTTGCAAACCATTTCTGTTTCACTATCACTTTGCACCGAGTATTCCCTGCCAACGGGCAGATAACATCGATCTCTCGCTTTTTCAACAATATCAACAACATCAACAACAGCAGGGTCTTCGTTCTCAGCAGCATGCTACGCAATCAACGCCAAATTTAAACTTTTTCCTGAACCAGCAGACAAACATTGGTTCGCAATGGGATCAATCTACATTTAATCAAATCCAGCCAGTTCGCACTTTTTGTGTAGCAGGTCATGTTCACACGAATTACTCTCTATCTACATTTCGAAGGAAAACGCTGGTTCCGTTTATATTGCCGAGACAGGTCCCGACAGGAACGGATATATTTTTGAAACGATACTTACCTTTACGTCACCACTCGACGTTTCCGATATCTCAAGTTGTATTTTGCTCTCCTCAGCTGATGGAATTTTATCCAGCCGAGTGGCAACGACTCCAAGCTTTACGATTTGAGGATCAACGCAACCAGTCTGTTCTCGCTTCAAAATACCGTACCGAATCCGCTTGTTGGGAATGCGGTTTGACTTGGGGACCACGAATGGAAGAGCTGGGTCAGGCATTTGTTCTGGCCAAATTGGAAAGCGAGATTTCGTATCAACGTTGTCTCCAGCGATTTCAATGCATCTATCGCACTTTAAAGTGTTTGGTTATTCAGTACGAGAAGCACAGACACAACTACTACGACTTTTACCACTGGAATATCCAAAACCAACATATCGTGAAATGCCTGCAGAGAAAAGTAACAAACTGCCGGGGTACCCCATTGTTAACCAAGAAGGAAATGCACGTGCTGCTTCAATGGGAAGTTATTTTGGATCTATTGTCTCGATACCAAGCTAGTGATGATGCAGCATTCGGGAAAAAGAAGATCACAACTGATTTGAACCATTACGGAGTCTATCGGTATCCAACATGTACAGATTCTGTCTTTGATCGAGACTCTGCTTTTGATCGCGATACTTCTGATCTTTTGATTCATCCCGACATGATATCTTGGAAAATCGAACCACGCCATCTTGAACTATTTTCTCACCTAGGAAACAGCCCAGGAAAGTTTTGTTTTCCACGCGAAATCTACAAAAGAGAAACAAAACTGGACCTGGACACTCTTTCTTTGACGGGAAAGGGAGATGACAATATCACTGATATATTTATGAATGACAAAATTTCTGGGTTGAAAGCAGCTCTTAGTGTTCTAGCTGATCCTAGGAGCTTACTTGTACATGGGTTATTTGATAAAATTCCTTACCCTGGCAGGGTCTTTCGCCGGTGCAAGCTACCAGTTTTACCTAAATTGGATGAAGAAAGATGCTTGAATAAAATTAAACATCGTCACCAGATCCTGTTTTCTTCATTGATCACATCTTCGACACAGTTTGCTCACTACAAGGTACAGGATTCTCTTGATCTCCAAAGTCTGCTAATTGTGAACTCACTCTGTAGTAGCTCTTGTGATGCCGAGGCACTTTCACATTCATTTTCTCTTCGGAATTTCATAAAAAATATTCCGTCGCCTGGAAACGGTAGGTTTGCACTTAGTACAGCCAAATGTGATATTGATGGGCACGAGAGTTCTTTAAGTGATGAGGACTTTTGGTTTCTGGAAAAGTACCATTCGAAAGTAACAGAATTGATTCTTGAAGAAGAGGATATGCACGGTCTAACTTATTCGACGAAGAAACACGAAGAATCAGAGGCGGAACAGTCAATGTTATCACAAGAAGGCGCTCCTCGTCAAGGTGCTGCTTTCGATCTCCCGGAAGCACCTGGTGTCAACAATGCCATGCTTCCGCGCGGTCCTAGAATATTGAATATCCTATGGATCATTTCTTCGCAATTCGGTTGGACAGTTGACAACAATGATTGTGTTGTCGCCGTTTATGTTGACCGGCGAATATTGATTGCGGCACACTGGTTATCCATAACATTGGCTTTTTTGCCACTCTTGGTCACCTTGTCTGCACGATATTTTCAATTGATTCCTGCTATTCCAACTTCGTACCAGCTGGAAGGGCTGCCCTACCATGCTGAAAACAAAAAAATGAGATTTTTGACGGTAAATGAATGCTTTCACGCTGGTTGGATGCTACTTTTTTTTTATTGTGTGTTGGGTAGATATATTGAACGGTACACAAGGCGAGACTTCTTGCGCGCAATGCAAGAACACTTTCCGGTTGCGAAAGAGCGCAATATTTTGCATCGATTATACATTGGAATGTTCCATCGGGGGGAACGTGTATGGGATGCTTTGTGTCCTTCGGTTTTACAGCGGTTGATTTTTCTACCACAATGGAATCGACGAAAGCATATTGATTTGATGAGACACATATCATTTTGGCGAAGTCAAGAATGGAAAGAACGTCGATCTAAGTTCCGGGCTATAGGAGGGAGGGGTGGAATCTTCTTTGAAGAAAGGGACGAGTCTTTAAGGTTGGGAAATGATTGTGCCATGAAAAAGATACTCGCTGGTATCATCATGGTACTTGTAGGCTTCTCTTTTGGTTCTCCGCATTTCTCCCTTAACTCTCTATCAGTATTTCTTTGCAGTGTTGGCTTTGGTACGAGTCTTTCGCTTCAAACAATTGGTGGTGATCGATCAGGTGTCACTTACAGATCAACTGGATCAATTGTGAAGTCTTTCAGTCTTGTCACCGCTGTGATTTTTGGATTACTGGTTGGACAACTTGTTGGGAGCTCAGGCGGAGCGGTATTCCTTGCAGAATTTGCAATCACTTCGATAAGCCTCTTGCTCGGGGGAATGGGAACAATATCAGCGTCTGGAATGGAGACATGGGGGACTTTTTTCTGCCTGTCGATAACTGCATTTTGGGGCTATTTATTCGGAAGATGTTCGGTCATCGAAAATATGCTCAAAAAGAAAGTTGGGATATCTTCTTTGATGCTATGTATCTCCGTCTATCTCGTCTTCTCGTTGTTATTCATTTATTCCGTAGGCTATGATTGGGAGACAGTCGTGGACATAGTCATTAAAAAAACACATGTTAGCGAGGAGTCACCTCACATGTTGCCGTAAAGGATTCATTTAATACGAAGGGTTCGCAGGAAAACGATAAATAATAGAGTTAAAGGTGCGAATATTAGTTTATTGCTATGTTTACAAGTACACATCTTTCATTCTATTAATTTTGCGGTATTATTAGTAAGGTCACGAGTAGCATTCTCGTCGTTTCCTCAGTTATTGTCTAAGTCTACATCTCGCCTTTGAAGGGATTGTCCAACCAGTGTGCGCCAGTTCCAACTTCGTGGGTGTATTTCAGGGTGGAAATCATATTCTGCCATACCCAAGGATAGTAGGCGTAGCGAACGCCATGTTTTTTGCATATCTCGCGAACCTTGGGTGCAATGTATGGATACCAAGCGCTTGACATCCTCGGGAACAAATGATGCTCTACTTGAAAGTTTAGCCCACCAGTAAGCCATCCTGAAATAGTACCTCCATAGGTCGAAGAAGTTTCAACCTGAGCTTTGAACCAGCAAACGGGTTCTCCCGTTTCGCGATTCTCTTTGGTGGGATCTCGGTCAGCATTTTCAAAGTTATGCGACAGAGTAAAAAGAAGTCCTAGTGTAAGACTTCCAGAAACTCCCATGACATTGATATGAGACAGAGTAGTCCAACTGAAATCATTCCAGAGAGGAGTGACTATGTTACACATGACGTAAAAGATTCGAAGACTGATTGCATACTTCCTTTGACTAGCAATCCAATCGTTATCCAATCGAATTCCGACATCCAAAGTGCCCCGATCTTTCAAGTTCCAAATAACGGGGACATCAATGACAGCTGATAGCCAATATCCACACAATAAGAGGACCAGATAAAATGCTTGATAGGCGTGGTATCCAGCACGTTTGGGATTTGACAGGTCGTAGTCGTTGAACAAGAGAAATGGTTCGGCTGCTAACCCATCTGGATCTTTTTCTCGATGGTTTGTATACGCATGATGCTGTTATTGTTATTGATGTGATGAGTTTAGAATTGGTAAGCAAGGCAGGTAAAATTGACGACGACTACCTCATATCAAAAAGCACTTACCGTCCAGTGTTTTTCCATCCATAGCCATTTAGATCCTCCAATAAGATCAGCACCGAGACCAAGGATATCATTGACCCAAACCCTCTTCGAAGCGGCGCCGTGATTCGCATCATGTTGTACATTCAATCCAACCAAGCCCATACTAATTCCATAAATGATTCCAAGCGTGTAGGAAGATTTTTGCATCCATAGATATTGCAGATAAAAAAATACCGCCAAGTAAACGAATGCACGAAAGAAATATCCATATGTTCCGAATTCTTTGCCGCGTCGAACAATCTTGAACACTTCCTTCTTAATTTCGCGTTCGAAAGGAGTATCCCATTTGTATTCTGGCGCGTAATCTGGAACTTTGCCAACTGCCTTCATCTTTTCCAAATGCTTCTCAGTGTGGTAGGGGTGAATCATTTTATACTGGAGTGTTACATCATTACCACCAAATATTTTGATAGAATCTCCTCCCGGATGCTGGAATGCTGATATGTCGTACACAATTCCATCAATACAAATTTCGTCTCCACTCAGGCCTTTCAGGGTAACAACACGGTCCACGGTCTCTGGCTCGGAAACATTAACGCTGAGGTCACCAGCTACAACTTGGCTACGACGCTGTCGCAACTTATCCGCATCAGGAGCCATCCTTGATAATATTGTAATGTACAGTGTTGATGCAACAATGCGTTTGACTCTTTCAAAGGGCACTCCTGGCTGTCATTTTGGGAGAAGAAAACGAAAGTCGTATGTTGCTGTCGGAACAGACGGAGGAAGTTTTGAGAATGGTTGATGATGTGTCCATTTCGATGGAATAAAAATTTGAAACGTCACGAAGTACAGGGGTCATAATTTTAGATGGGTGCGCAACGCGCGTTGAAAACTTCTCCAGTACTGTACTATCGTACGAAGTACTTCCTGTGATGTAAAATCTCATGATATCCACAGTAGTACGGTAGCAACAAGAACAGTTTCTCAAGCGTTTTTATCACTTCATTTTTACTGCAAGAAGTGTTCCTGAATGACCCCATGCACAACAAACAACACTTCAAGTACTCTCTGATTTTCAAACTTCATATGCACATCTCTAATATAGTTGAGAGTCAAGCAGTAAGTGTTTGTCTGGTGTTTTTGCTGTTGGCAGTTTAAAATTCGAAGTGCCAACACAGGGCTGGTGGTGGTACATCACATAGTATCAGACTACAACGCAAATTATGCTTTTCCAATAGAGGAGAAGCTCTATTAAAAAATAAAAATCTTAATATCATATTTAACCTCATGAACCACCAGAAGAGGCGCTATGCTGGCCCGAACCATAACTTCCGGAGGGAAGAATGCTCCGACGGGCGGCGCCTCCCTCCGAGGAGTGTTAATGGAGACACGACCAGAGGAGGAGCTCTATTACAGATGTTACAATAACCCAGCAAAGTTATTTTTTCTATTTTAAGACCGTCTGCACGCAACATAGACACATTATCAGACACATTATCAGGAAGTCAGCCTTTCTCGAACATATCTGCTTTGGGAGAACTCATATTGAGACAACTACAATGGGTTGAGATAATGGTACTGCTACCATCTGCCGACTGAACCATCATCAATAAGCTCGTTCTCTCAAGGAAATGTTGTCATTCAAAGCATTGAACTTTATAACAGTTGTCGGTTTGCATTGTGTTTTGCTACTGTTGAAAACGGTTGGCTATACTCTCCGAGACCAGATATTCGCTACCTTATCAAATATGACCGTTCACAATGTCTCCTATGGCACCTCCAGCATGTTTTGACTAGTCACGGAAGACGATGAAAGTGTTGCTGCTGTTGTTTTCCCCTCTTCATTGGAGCCGAGTTTTCGTTGTTTAAGGTTTGCCGACACACTGCAATTCCCATTTACATCCCTGGCATTTGCGGTACACTGCCCAGCCGAACACGAGGCAGCGAAGGACGGGCGGTTTGTCCTGTTGCATCCCAAGGCTCGGGTGACCGCGTTTGCCATGGACGCTGCGCAATCGATGATGAATCAGCACATTTTTGTGAACCGGTGGTGAAGTTTTGACTATGGCAAGGGTGGAAAGAGTATAATACGAGGCTCTGTCTGAACTCCTTCAGGTGAAAGTAAACATGAAGTGTTCGTCGCACCGGTACCGGTATCTGCAATCGAAAAAAATGATACGGAAGCTAGTCACGCGCTTGTACAATATCAGGACGTAAGTATCGTACGGTACTTGGGTAATCCAATTTTTGCTCGGTCGAGCACGTGTCGAGACCCTACAGTAAGTAAATGAAAAAATGAGGTATTTAAATGGGCTCAACGGACAAAAATGAAAGTGGTACTTTGGTACTCACTTAGATTACTCTGGTACTACCACATTGTACTCCAGTACCATCTCATACTATGTACTTCCAGTATGATGCTCTACTGCTATCTACGGTGCTGCTCTGAGTTGGTGCTGATACGGAGGATGCTGATACGGAGGATGCTGATACGGACAAGAAGGCTCACTGATACGGACAAGGCTCGCTGATACTAGTAGG